CTTTCCCACACCGGTATGGGTCTACGCGGGATGTATCTAAGAAGCTGTAGCTGAGAGGAAGAATGTGCCTCGGTGTAACAGCTGATGAAGCCATTTGACTGACGTTAGAAAATAGACACCAAAACATTGAACCCTAGTTTTTCATCGTACAAACACATTGAATAGGATGCGAACGAAAAAGATCCAAATTCAAACTCCTGCTGGTGTATTCAAGCTACAATGCTCTTCAACTAAATGTGGAATGAGGAGGTTGCTTCGGACTTCGTCTGGATAACGCATGAGTACCCATCTTGCCATACAACTCTAGAGGAAATCACCATGTTTTTAAGATTTTATAGTCAATCATTTCTCTAGAATGGTGAAACGACAAGATTTCGAGTCATTCAGTATTTTTTTTTGAAAAGAGGTTTGTCTCCTAACCACTCACGTTGGATGGGGAAAGAAGAATATTTTCTTTGCGACACATGGTTGAAGTAAGTCAACGCAGACCACAACGTCTTCGTCCTTTCAAGGGATGCATTCAGATCTATGATACCATCTGTCACTGAGAAGCACTCATCCAGCTACTCTATATTCTCATTGTTCTAGGTATTCTGTGATGTCCAGTGGGGCGTGTCTTATTAGGCTAAGGGAAATCAGCGCACAAAATCACTTGTCTTGCCACAGTCCAGTTGCAGCACCCCCCCCCTACAAACACACACATACCAGAAAGTATGTCCGTGTTTCGCATGCAACGAATAGGTGCACAGATGGTTGAGGACTTTGGATACATTTTGTCTTTCCTTGCAGAAAAAGTGACGATAATGCGCGCACACACACACAAGCGCAGATCGAGTGTGCACGCGACCTGATTAACTGGTACAAGCGTTTTTGAAGAAAAAACCAGTTATTTATTAAATAACAAGACAGAAATCAGGCGCCGTTTGAATGTAGTTTCAAAGCTTAGAAGCTGTGTTGGAAACTGGGTTGCCAGTGCTAGAATGGTGTATTCGTGATCCCTCGCATCCGCTGTTCTCTGTGCCACCCTAAAGGCGGCTGGTGCTAAGTAGTTCTCAATAACCAAAGCAACTAACTAAATACAATCATTTGCGTACCAATTTAGTTTTCACTGGAGACTCGCCTGGAACCCAGCTTAATCCCTCGTTTATGATGTCCCTAAGCAACTTAATGTATTGTGCCAGACGTAATGTACTGAACGAAAGATTCAGCTGGATTCCAGGTGGATCTCCGGTCAAAACCAAATTGGTATGCAAATGAGTGTATTTCGCAAATTTCGTGCACTTTGGGTTCGAGTAGAATATGAGGCTGGCGGGACTACGCCTAATTGATGAGGAAGGACGAAACTGGTCGTGGGCAGTCGAAAAGTTTTCAGCAACCGTATGAGTAGTGTTTCACGTCTAACGAAAGCTACTGTTACACAGAAGTATCGTGATGTTTTGACCTTCAAACCTTATCCACCAAGTGTGGACTAATGGACCATCACTCGCCCACCTCTCCCCTTCGTCTTTATTCCACAAACAAGTGTCCGACATTGTGAAGAAACATTGTTGATGTATTCATCCCGCAGCCAAAATGAAAAATGTCATTGAATAGAACGGGATCCGTGAAGATGGATTCCATGCTTGTCCATCTCTTTTTAAGATCGGTAAAACAAACAGTTTCACCCCACTCAAATCCGAAAGAACTGCGATTAACCATCCTACACCAACAAACATTTTTCTGTCTCCAGACCACATGAACCTAAGTGAAGCAAGAACGAGCAACAGTATAATCGATGCCAACCGGTACAGCGGCAGTACAGCTCCTGAAGGCGAAAACAAGTGTTTGCAATGAAACGACTGTTCTCACAACAAAATGCACCACGGAAACGGCTCAAGGTTAATGTGTGTGTGCTATATGGGCAAAGAGGACAAGGTGGCACGTGATCACTACTCGACTACAACGTATTAAAAAGTTGAAATTTGAAATAAGTGATCTAATTGATAGCAAACAAAGCATGGGAGCACAATGCAGTTTTTCGCTTTCGTTTGGGGGCACATTTGAACCCATAAATGCAACGAGTACTCGATAGGGCAATGAGCTGAAGAAATACGGGCGGTGTTTCGACAAATACTCATTTGAAAATCAATTTGGTTTTCACGGGAGACTCAACACAGGTGAGACCGTTCATGGACTGTCGAAGAGTTTTCAGCAACCCTCTGAGTAATTTCCTCTATGAAAATAGGTTGTGTGTTTGTTGTGCAACGTCGTGGTGGACAAACGATCCACTGAAAATCGGGATTGGTCCAACTCCTAGATAGTACTCATATACAGTGATAATGTGTTGGGAAATTGATGTCCGCGCAGGGAAACGGCGTGTGCATGTCCAACTGATTTGAGTACGATGGTCAAAGAGGGAATTCCCTCATACTGTTATTCGGAGCGCACACTTGGTTCTATGAACATACCGCAGAATGTGCCAGCCTCCAAAATGAACGTAAAAAGCCCAGTTATGGAATAGACAGCTTGATGCTTTCATAAACCTGGATGTCGATATTAACACAACGGATGTCTCAAAATAATCTCAGTTCCTTCCCTTTGGTGAAATGGCTTACCAAGGCGAAGAGAAAACTCTTGAAGCATGATCTTTGAACAGAATATTTGAAACGATGGCAGTTAAAGACGACAAACCCACATATTACTCAAATGTCCTCGTACGAAATGTTAGCTAATATTGACAGTAGATGTGTGTTTATTTAGTGTTTGTGAAACGGTGGGTTCACTTTTAGTATGAAATATCTTTACCTAAAAGGGGTCGAAAGGACGCCGGTCGCTAAGTGACCATTAAATGGACTATGTTGCGTTGGAAGGAAATTTACGCGTGTCATTTCGCATTCCGTGTAAACGTTCATTACCATAGTTTCCAGGCGGATGCCTCCTCCTTTTTATCCGTCCTGAGCCACTCTTTTGACCTGTCACGCTAGTTGGACGCAACACCATGAACGGACTGATTCAGTTGTAAGACGCAACGGGAATCTCGTCATGGGTGTTGGTATGTCCCCGTGGAAACTGAATACAGTGAGCTCACAGATCAACTGTTTCTCAGTATGTCACGGATAGGAGAGACACGTGTCACGTTTCCGCCTGTGACAACCATTCATATAGATCAAACTCTGTGTTGCGTCTTTTGTTAGACTCACTCGTCGCTCCGTACGCCTCAAGTGTTGTGTGACAGCCGGAGAATTCAGAGGAACCAACGATTGGGAATCGTACAAGAGAAGATGGAAGAACTAAGTCAAGTAACTACGTCCATCAATGAAATTGAGTTAACTCTCAACAGTATTGCCATAGTAAGTAAGCTACTCTAGCACAAAGCATCGTTTCTATTGAGAAAGATTATGATGTTATTCCGTAGAGTTGTTTGGTGCCGTGCATGCAGGTCAACCAAGACCTAAGGTTTTCAAGATGATCTTATCTGCCTAAATATTAACCGAAATGTATCTAGGGTTCCCGCTACCGAATGGATTCAGATCCTATCGGTTAGACAAACATATTGAGGATTACTGCGTTCGTCCGGTCGAGAACCGCGCTGACCAAACTGGTGACAAAACTGCGCTTTCTCTGTTGACCCGATGGACCCTAAGACACTCAGTAGGATCGAGTATACTAATTCCCGTCTTGTTTTTCTAGTCAAACAGCGATACGGTTACCGCATAGTTTTGGGATTTGTGGGGTAGACGATAGCGCGTGCTTGCTTATCCATTCTGTCGCCATTGCGTAGCTTTCAACACACAAACACACGTCGACACGTCTAACCAAACGCACACACACACAGGCGCGTCCATCTACTTCCCATGAGCGTGAAAAACAACGACATATGGGTTCGCTGATGGGAGATAAGGGGGTGATGGAGACTGTCACGTGGATTGCGATCCGATGTATAACGGATCTCCTCGTGTAAATCACTGTTTTTTCTGACAGCTTGCCTTTGTGGCTTATTCCCCTCATTCGAGACACATGTCCAAATAACCAGACACTAATTAAGCTCAATGAAGAATGCTTTTTTTACAACCACACAATGGGGAATGATCTACTTAAGTACATGTCAATTTGGTTATGGCTGGGGTTTCAATGATACCTCAGTCGACGGAAAATATGATCCTCAGACACAGGCTGTTTTCAGCAATTTTTCTTCAACTTAATCCTGTGTTGTTAAGTGGTTTACTTTTGGCCCATTTTTAGAGTGTGACTGGCTGAAGAAAACCAAGGAGTCCTCTCAGTCTGTCTGCAGAAAAATAGCAGTGCATTTCGAGTTGTTCCGAGTCAACTCTTACCCCGTAAAATTCATTATATCCAGGTAACAGCATGTCATATACTCCCGCGTCCATACTATTACAGTAAAGAAAGCCGTAAAACCCTTCCGGCGCCCAGCTGCCATGCTACCCAAAAGATGCACAAGGGCTGAGATACTGCCAGGTTGCCCAAACCTAGACAGAGGAAGTCAAGAAGCAGAGGTCGGGTTCAAACCACGGACCTTTCGGTCAGTAAATTCGAGCTCTAACCACCTGAGCTATCTCGGCCCCACTTTTGAAGTCCTGGAATTTCGTTGTGATGTCCTGAGGTGTTACGTCCGCAGCCCCAGAATTTCTTCAGCCCACCCTCTCTCCTCCCCCAAGCAAGAACACTTCTCTCGTGTTAAAAAAATTGGGAATCAGGGCTGATTCGCTGTTCATCACCACACCTCAATATGAATTTATGAAATACCGGGAAATCAGTTTATTGCCAAGGAAGCAAGTGGGGAAGAGCCAGTGTGACTATTTGCAAGAAGAACTTACTCAATAATCTGCTCCGTACAGCGAAAACCATGTTCGTGTCCATTTTTCCGCTAGCCCAACTGTCAACAAAATTTTCACACTGAGTCTTATATTGTCAACTCGGATGGTCGTTGATCTGCTCCAGTTTGCAAACATTCTGTCACCAGTAGGAGAGATATCATTAGTTCACCGTGGAAACATCTTGCAATGATTGTTGCAGTTCCGTATCTGAAAAATCCACTAATGACTGTTTCTAACGATCAGATGGGCCACGCCGAGTTACGCGTGAAACCCCAGAAGCCGAATCGTCTTAGTGGAGATGTATCAACAAATGCGCTACTATAAATCCTCCGGCTCCTATACACCAAGTTAGGTACTACCAAATTCAAACGTGATCCAAAAATTCACACCGACTCAAGAAAAATTGACCATAAGCTGACCAAGCACCTGTGATCGTATTAAACTAGACACGCAGTCAGAAGGTCAAAGAGCGGTTTTAACTAATACCAAAACAATGAAGGTGCATTAACACAAAACGGAGTGAAGCTAGGACCCCCGTTGTAGAACACAACGAGAATAGAGGGAAGGAATGGACATCCATGGTGCGTAAATATTATGAAACAATAATGCGCTTTCCACGTCTGCTATCTCGAGTTGCCCTTTCCACATTTTATGACAAAAAGGTTGAATCCCCCTCCACTAGAACGGAACCTGTAAGCTGCAGCCAGTGAAAAAAAACGACAAACCTTCTATTTGTATCACTAGAACTATCAGCTAAGAATCAGTACTTCAAACGGTCTCGCAACAACAGTAATTCACTCATCCACAAGAACCACAGGACAATGTCTGAATCGTCGTGCCACAAAAACAAAGGCATAACTCAATCACTTAAATCAAGGAAGTCTGAAACTGAACCATTGTCGTTAAGGTCATAAACATGGATAGGGTGTTATTAATTCACCAGGCTGACAGTGTAATGAAAGAGTGAAAAAAACAATTCTGAGTCAGTATAACGCAACGGATGAAAACATTTTAGGGATAACAATAATCTGACAAGTAGTCCAAGACTGCCCTTCAGGAAAAGACAGGGAAATCAATAGTGCGTGCAGCAAGTAAAAAGCATATTTGCAACCCCTCACTAATAGTTTTTCATATAACAGTTAAGATGTCCTTTCGTGACTTTATCTCAAAAGTTGAACTATCAAATTTGGTTTCAATGTTGACCACGTGAGGGCATCTGGGCATTTAATTAGAAATATGTAGTGTGTGGCGAATAGGTTGAGTATTCCGGTGAAACTAGGGAGAATAACGCTCAGACGACTTCACTGTAACGTGTCAAAATTTGCAGAAATTTTTCTGAACACTCATTCCTGACTGCAATTTTGAAATTTCAGTTTCTACCGGAGAGGAGGCAAAAAATGCCGTTCCTAACATGTTCGAGGTTAAAATGGGAAGATTTTAGACCAGTTATGGTGAGCCTTAAACAACTGAAAAACAAGAGAATAGCATTTTTCGACTAGCCTCAGTATTGTATCGGGGAAAAAAGGGCAAACCGAGGCGGATACATTGACTTTTCTCTTCATTCAAAACTAATCTGGAAAAAGGTGAAACATCGCCAAGGGTCAATCCACAGGAACCAGTCTCCATGGTAACTAAATCAAGTGCCCTATGATTGACAAATTTAGAGACACGATATCTGTGTCAAACTCACCATGTAGCCGATCATGAGTAGTACTGAACAGCACTGAACAAGACGCGATAAAGCCGTTACCTCGACCGCCTCTGCATGTACACAGAACACAGTAGCTCCCTTACCCACCCACAAAGACACCCTATGAACCCACTGTTCTTACTGGGGGTCTTAATCCTAACTAACACGAATATAGCCTTAGCAATGTTGTGGAATGTAGGAAGCTCGGGTGCTCTGCTGGTCAGTGCACTGAAGATGTCACTTCGATTGGTGATGAAACGCTTGCAATCCAACTGCCAAGCTCGGCGAACAGACCAGCAACAAAACGAATATAGTCTTTATGAAACGATCAGTGATTCCAACCTCATTTGAATCAATTTTTCTACTCGAATGTACATTTTACCCAAGCAAGATAACTCGGCCTAAACATCCGATGAGCTATACACTGCCTCTGTCGGATGGAGTAACCTTCACGCTGAGTCGCATCAGAGTCTGAAAAATACCCCCATATAGCTTCTTTTCGAATGTGTACCAATTAATTAGGTTCTCTAGAGTGTGCGCATGGTAGTCTATTTCCGTTGGGCAGTGCTTTCCTCAGTTGTATCAGTGTTCGACTATCTTTGCTGCACTTCAACATTATTTTGATTATGCAAAGTCAGCAGCTATAAACGCCGCCGCTTGGGATGAAACACCCATTTTGAGGATGTGAAACTCTTTTCTGTACGATATTTCCGGCTCGTTTCTTCGAGAATGTTGATAGCTGACAAAATCGTCCCCTGACCATAGTGTTTTCCGTTTACAGGTTTTTTAAAGGGTTAGTGTACTACAACTCAATGAAGGTGAGCGATCAAATAAGTATTAATAACCACATCCATACTATCTGGGAAGATTTGCACTCATTAAAATTTTGTCCACGGATAGGCATACGAGTTCCTTCATTCAGATACTGTTTATAGAGACCACCTCACCTTCTGGCATCTCTTTTACCTGCTGACAGACTGTCACGTGAACCGCCTTCCTTGTCCAATGCGCCAATGTCCGTCAGTTGGACGGGCATGCCTGCGGTACATGATAACATAATGTTCGATGCTTTGATCTGTACTAAAGTGGACCGATGTTCGGTGGTGTATAGTTGTGCCAAAAGTACTCTTTGTGCTTATAGGGTCCAACGACGAATATGAACAGGTTGTATGAAACAACAAGCAGGGACTTATTTTTTAAAGTTTCACTTTTCGTTGAGTGCCAAAAACGGAATATGCTTGTCTTATTTCAGCCATTGGATTACGGCAAAATGATGGTATTTAAATCCTAGACTACTTCTCTAGAGGATGCTGCAATTGATTTAGGTGAATCCACTCCCAGGAACGCCATCTATCCTGGTAGACAGCTTGGGTCCCTTGTGACGAAAAAAATCAATATCGATGGATGCCACGAGGATCGTTGGTTGAAGCGGTTCACTGCTAGAAAAATATCGAAATCTATCGCACAGATTACTTAGTAAGCCTATTCGCCACCATCCCGGCAACCAAAAAAAGCGAAATTGTCTAGCTGAAGCTGCAGGATTTAGTACACCAGGTTAACGATGCCAGGGCACACCGATAATTTGCTCTAATCACTCTGTCGCACCATGAAGGTACTAGTTTCTCGAATCTGTAGTCTAGAGTTTGATCGCAAAGGAGAAACCATAAGCGATCACGTGGTTTCGTTCAGCAACTGACGTTTATCTCCATTTCCTGAATGTTCGACTCTCCCTTCAAGCTAAAAGTTTACCGTGGTTACATTTTAAATGTTGAATGATTCCAGATTATTTGATAGCTTAGCGTACTCTCAACAGTTCACGCCTCCTCTCGTTTTGTTTGGCACAACTCACCAATGGTTTAATGAACAAATGAATAATATTTACTAGTGTGTACACCGAAAAACTGAAACAGTTACATCTGTTTTTATACACCATATCACTGTCTACAACGTTCAAGGACTGGCTTCTCACGGAACTAGAATGACTAAGCGGCAATCATGGATAGGAGACTCCTCAACTGAATCCAACTGGATCTCTCGCTTATTACTGTCCGCTTCAACTAAATGTGCTGCACCAGGAAGCCTCATGTTTTAGCTGGTGCGATATTCGAAATGGTGCAATACATTGTCCAGGCGTAGCACACTACTTGTATCCAACGAATCATGACACGGCCTGATGAATCACACTCAGCTGAAGTAGACAATCCTAAACGAGAGATTTAGTTGGATTCAGTTGAGTCTCCTGTCGAGACCAAATTTCTGTGCAAATGAGGGTGTTTTTCGAAATCTGTCCAATTTGGGTTCAAATAAAATATTGAGGGGAAACCAGGAAGCCTCATGTTTTAGCTGGTGCGATATTCGAAATGGTGCAATACATTGTCCAGGCGTAGCACACTACTTGTATCCAACGAATCATGACACGGCCTGATGAATCACACTCAGCTGAAGTAGACAATCCTAAACGAGAGATTTAGTTGGATTCAGTTGAGTCTCCTGTCGAGACCAAATTTCTGTGCAAATGAGGGTGTTTTTCGAAATCTGTCCAATTTGGGTTCAAATAAAATATAGGGTTGAGGGGAACTCGGGGACTGCGCCTGCCTGAGAAGAGAATCAAAGCCGGTTGTGCACTATGGAATTTTTCGGCAACCTTGCGAGTAGTGTGCTACATAAAGTAGAATTCGTGTTCAAATCACTCTCGTTTGGACCTCCTTTTCCCGGGCAGCACACATCAAAACGAAAATGCAATGGACTCAACTTTTACTTATATTAGAGCTCATCTGGATTGAACCACCGACATGTGAGGCGAGTATATTATTTCAGCTACACTAGTATACGTTAAACCCACTCGAATTTTCACAGACGTGAAACTGACTTACCTCCCTTTTGTGATACTGAAGTTTGTCTGTGGAATCTGTAGGTAGTGTCGTATCAGAGCGCTTCTGGAGTTAAACAGAACTGTTACCTCAAAAACACGGCTCAATAAATGGAGGGCATTGATTAACTCATCCACTGGCTATAGCTATGCCAAACAATAAATGTTACCTAATCTAGAACAGAAACGGCAAGATTTCTTTTTATGGATTTGTCATAAAGTCACTTTCCTCTCGTATTCTGCATATATATGAAAAAACGATATGGTATGTGCCTAGCTAAAGTTATTTCATTCAGTTTACCGAGTCCGGTTGTTCATCTGATCCGTGGACGAGCAGGTACGCTCGAACTAATTCGGGTTCCCCACAATGAGCATTTCACCCAACATCAAAGCCTTCTGTGTCAACTGCTGTCCAGCTCGTGATAGTTGATCTCTGTATTATGCAAATAGCTATAGTTTATTCGTCAGCTCGTCTGACGTTAGGATGCGGGCCGATACCGTTGATCGATTAATGCCTGACCCATCTCTTTGCTTCCCAACCACCCTTACCGATTTGCGGGAAGCGCTAACCTGTGTTGTTCTCGCTTACGCATCGCAAACACACATTACCATCTAGTCATCCATGCATGGCGTATTCGACGGCGTTCAGTTATTTGACGGATGAGAAACACATACAAATCGTATTCACGTTTATCATGCGAGTGGGAACCGGGGAGGGGGGGCGTTTGACGAATAGGAAATGAAATCCCCCCTATCTGTCATTATTCCTTGGTTTACTGACATGATACGATAAACCGGTCTATTAGTGTGTGAATAATACGATTAATTCCGGTTAGCACTTCGGTTTGATTGACCGATTTCAATAAAGCGGCTATTCTTCACCATTCTCTAGTTAATTATTATGGGTATCACCATTGAGAAAGAAGTCACTGGAAAGACTAACGATGGTATTCACGTGGGATTTAACATATTCTGACAAATGATGACTTTGAATTTCGCATGTCAGCTTCCTGACTTATGGGGACGAGGTTATGCGAGATATACGACAACATTAGGTCATAGATGTCTCAAGCCGTTAACCCTGTTCAGAAATCGTCACACATGCTTTGGTAAATAGCTGTCCGTAAAAACGCTCGGTGCAATTTCCCAAAGCTTTTGGGTGAAACATGGCCAAATGTAACATGACAATTTTTCTAGTATTTCCCCAGATAGTAACCAACATTTATCCATGGTCACTTTCCTCGTCAGATTCAGCAAAACTGTTTCTTTGTTACAAGGCTTGGTCCGTAATGCGCGTAGTGGGGTTCGAATCTGGGTTTTATAGTAGATGTTAGGACAATTTCATGCTCAAATGGCTGAATGCGCCGTAAAATTCAAACTGGTCACCTATCTGTTGATGTGTATGCGCATAGACAAGCCTTTCGTAAACAGGCTGAATCATATTTTCTCCTGAAACTCCGGGAGTGCAGAAATGACAAACTATAATTTTTCCATCAGTCAACAAAACTAGTGAATTCAGGTTGAAAGAGAAGGCCAACTGTAGTATGCGTAACAATTCCTCTTGTTCTTTTCGTTGTATTATCGATCCACCATTTGTACCGCGCATATTTGCCTGGCTTTCAACCATCAGACAGAGTTAATGTTGATGATGTTGTGGGAATTCGTACGTTACAAAAAGACTGCACACTAGTGCTCTCTTGCACTATCGGTTGGACTGCAACAGTAAAAAAGGATCTCCGCTGCTTCTCTAATAAATTACGGACAAATTTCATTTAAAACTCCACAAATCGAGTCCTATCAGGCATGACAGGCGTTTATGTGTGTGAGAGCGACCAAATGGAGGCTCATCGTTATCTGTAGAACAACAGGCGACAAATACGGAGTTCTTGTATTTACGATACTCTTGCGTAAATGAGTTCCAGAGATTAGAAAACAATATGCATACAAAAGTGCATACGAACATCACAAGTTTTGAATTTGATTACTGAACCGTTCACTAGAAAATTTTATAGCTCATAAAACGATTCGGTCATAAACTTTTATGCTCGCTGATGTATAAATAGAGAGTACCTGAAGGATCCTTGAAGTTGCATTACATTGGTCGAAGAGAGTCTCAGTGTAAGAATGGGCCGCAAGGTATTGTCTACGTAGCTGACGCTTACTGGGATGCTGATCACATATGAAGGTTGTACTCGGTACGATTTGAATCAAAGCAGGATCCGGTACGATAGTTCGTCAAATATCCTAAACAAAACTCTAGCCCAAGGAATGATAGGCCCACTAATTGTGGTGGTGGTGGTCTCGGCTTTTATATGGCGCAAGCTAGGCAAGACTGATTAATTCTGATAGAATTGCAAAGCTTTTTAAAGCATTACCAGTACTAGGATTAAAGCATCCAACCTTACATTTGAGGCACTGAGTCTAATGACCAATTCGAACAGAGTAGACGGAACGACGAAGTTGCCTAATGACGCTGTCTCGTAAGTTCACATGCCTCCAAAACATCATGATTTTGCGAAAATCCTATAGAACGATGGCATATGTTCGGAGCGCAGTCATACGATGAATGAAATAAGAACAATCCTAGGGTTACTTCCAGGTGTTTTCGGATAAACAGTACTGAGCATCAACAGCTAATCAGTAATGCTTCAAAAATACTTCAAACCCTTTGACTAGTTACATGTTATGATGATTCTGAAGGGTGACTAAAACACACATTAATGTTTGAACTTGATCAGATGTCATGTGATCCAAGACGTGAGTTACCCAACAATACACTCTCACTTACAGGAGCTGAAGGGAAATCAGAATGTTGGTATACTCAAGCCAGACAAGGGATCCGGCGTTGTTGTCCTAAACAGAGCGGATTACGTGTTTGAAAGAAGCGCAGTCTTAGCCAATGCATCCGAATTTCTCCCATGTATTCAATCGGATAACCTTCTAATTGGGAAGAAACAAATTACTCGTAAGTTATACATTCTTCTATTGAATGGCTTCATCGCTCAGAATGACTTGAATATGCCTAAATCTGTTGATACTCACTTATTTCAGCTTTACGGGCTTCCTAAGCCGCATAAACCCATTGAGCCTAGTTCAGCTGTAAATGGCCCATCCTATCACCGGCTGGCTAAATTTTGCGTAGATATTCTCACAAACTACTGTTTGAAAGGTCTTGATGAATTTATATCCCACCCAGAACACGCTGATATCTCTGAAGAAATTGTGCTTTCATTCGACGTGCATTCATTCTTTACCAACCCTCCCCTTAATGAATGTGTGGATATTTTGAGCGATTAGATGGGGTCCAAGTTCCTTCAAACCTCTCGTCCTCACTCCTAAGGATGTCATTTCACTCTGTACTAAGAATATCACTTTTTATTTTGAGAGGTCCAGCTATAAGGCTTTTAATGATGTTGCCATTGAGAGCCTTTGAAGCCAACCCTAGCTAACATTTTTATGGATATGGTGATATTTTACTCATCACGAACAGTAAGATGCAGGCTGAACACCTGCCTTGTGTTAGTTCTCTCCACCAAAACATTTCTTTCACCTGTGAAATTGAGGGGAACAAAAAGCCTCCTTTCTTGGATGTTTTGATCCCCAGAAATATGGGTGATACCACGTCTCGCTCTACGTATCAGAAACCAATGCTCACTGAACAGTACCGCAACTTTACTAGTTACTGTCCGCTACAGCACGTACATGCATTGGTGGTGACTTCATTTCATAGGGCCAGACATATTTGTATTTCACCTGCACTCGTGGAGCAAAGGTGCATTGGAGTCACACAACTACTCTTACCGCTTCATCGAATGTCATGTGGCTTCGAGTGGTAAACTGAGCGTTTCATTCACAGCACCACTATTATCATGATTAGCATGATATCAGTGTTCAACACCGATCCTTCACTGCCGTACGACCATGATTTATTTGAAAGCCTAATTGTGAAGAAAAGAAAGAAAGTGCACGGGGAAGGGAATTAGTGCTAGCTTACCACAATCATTCCGAGGCGCTATACCTCCAGACATTCACTCAGGCGGTCTGGACAGAAACTGACAACAAGAAGGCCACTGACATCGGTTGGCAGCCATATCTTATAGTGTTTCCAAACAGGCGCAGTAGGGATCACGCGGTCCCTATCCTGGAAGGCGATTAGCACCGACAGCACCTAAGCGTTTCATGATCCCCTTCATACTCCTCTACTAAGTCAAGGGTTGGGCAATTATTTGCTTACGCCACTCTGGATTGGGCATGGAAAACAGTGCTCTCTTCGGCCAACGATGGTTCGGCATACTCAACACATGTCCCAACCAACGCAGCTTCTGGTGCTGGACGCATTCTTCAATGGAAGTAGCCATTACACAACCGAAAACGCGCTTTCTCTAGAAACTAGTAAACTCCACACCCACCGGGAGAATGGCAGAGAAGCTCGCCATGATTATAATAACTGCCGATATGTTGTACCAAGTAATTGCTCTCCTTGCATTTGACGCAGTACATGCATACCGGATTCCTACTAGTCAGGACACACCCACCAAAGAACTGCGCTGAGTTGCAAGGCGTCAGAACTCGAATGCAACGTACTGGATAATGTATATCCAGAAAGGTGGTAGGTATGATTTTATTTGCCTCAGATGCAGATTCCCGAAGCGATATTGCTCGATGACAACTAAGTAGTGTTTAGGAAGTCTGAATTACTTTGAATAGATCAGCTTTACCCCTTTTATTTAATTATGCATATTAAAAGGAGTTCCAGGCAACAGGGCAGCTGGACGGGGCGCAATCTCGGTCCCCAAACCGTGGCTCTTTCAGTCGTGCACATTCCGACCGATGCATGACTGTACAAACCCTGCTAAACGTCCACGGAAGCAACTTGCACTAGAGCCTGCATAGTGAATAACACAAAGTGATCGAACACCATACACCCTTACAGGATATGTCATTAGTCAAAGCTTTACACAGTGAATATGTCCTCCTTATTTATGTGGATGAAAAAGGTCTGGAGGCATTCACGTCTTCCAGACTCCCCCATGCACCACCCCGCCGTCCATAAGCAAACCACCGCAGAAACGGTCTAAAATCATTTTCCTTTGGAAACCATTCTCTCTTGGAAGGCACAATTCCTCAGTGACCGAAATCAAATGATTCGCCGCACGCTTACAGTAAATACGATTTTCATATTAACTAAGCGATGAATGATAGTACTGTTAGATTACTGTTACCTCATAGAAGATATCTCCTACAAGTAAAATCGTTCAGAACTCAACATGAACGTTTGTTTGATCACGGTTGATCTCTGCCTCACTTAGGGAAAATCTGTCATGCCTTCAAACAGGGAATACATCTTTGTCATTCATAAGAGCTGATTTGTCGGCTTTTGTTCCCTTCAGTTCATTATGTGCATAGCCGGGATTCCTAACGAACGATATCACCGGCTGCTCAATTGATTCTGATCCGGGTGGCCACGCAACACTTAGTAGCGCTCTTAATATCCCAAGTGTTTTCTCTTCTTCCATCCCTGCCATCTGGGTAACCAGAACAAAAAGTGTTCAAATGTAACACCCTTCAGGCTCGTAGATGTCACCCACCTGAGGGATGCACGAGGTCTGATATACTTCAACGTTGCCCAAACCCAGACAAAAACAGTCAAGATGCAGAGTTTGGGTTAGAACTATGAACCTTCCAGCGTGCAATTCGGCGCATTACCTACCAAACTATCGCGAGGTCGGCCATCCTCCCAACCATAGTGGGAATATTTATTTTATTCACTACATATTGTAACTTACCTGGTGCCACGAAATTATAGTCACATATTCAGCGATGATGACTTACAGGAGCCAGCGTCATTTAAGCGGTGGTAAGGAGATTTGCAGATGAAACTTACCAGTCAAAATGACATTTTATTTGTGTATTTCCAGCCCTATATTTACCTGTCCCCCACGTTACGCTTACTTCGCCTCGCTCCGCAAGAAACATCATCAACTTCACGTAAGGGTGCCAAAATATCGATACAGCTCTTGCATGGTGTTCATAACCTCGGTCCGACCGTTCCAAAAGCTGCTAAATTAAAATCACTCAGAAGTGAATACCCTTGGTAGAATTTCACCATCAGCTTATGCAACAGCGCATGCAAAACTCTCATGTTCGAAAACTGCCCTAGGTAAGTTATTCGATAAAAGTCCGTAAACCCACACAGAATTCCTGATCTTCTTTCTTGTTATTTGTAGTGAGCAAATTCAGGCTTTCCGCGTTAAATTGAATTTGTTTACTTTCGCGCTAATCAGCTACGCAATCTGTTTGCCACTAAGAGATCTAAAAAGGATTGGCCTGTAAGGTGGGGACATCTGGGTGGTACAATGACCAAAATGAATCATTCCAATCCATACTTTAACGAGGGGAGTTGGCAGAAGCCGTTTTCATCTTCGTTATGAAGACTGCTCATGGATCCTGAGTTTTTATTCGTCATACGGAATGCACAGATTTTTTTTCATTTTCGCGTCAATGAACGTGTTAAGTAGAAACGTGAAGCTTGCTAGTAGCTTGGCAGAGAAAGCATTTAACTGCATCTTGAGAACGGTTGTCTTACACCCGGATCACAGTGACTGGCATCGGACACAGTCTGCATCATAGAACGCAGCAGATGGCCACGTGGCCTACTGACCACATGCACACTGACACACGCTGATTGGTGGGCAGACATGAGACCAAACACGTGCCGAGTATTCGCCCCCTTTAGCCGCAGTATCTTGAAACAACCAATCACATAATGTCTGATCTTTGAAAGCAGAGTCTGGATGTGACTTGCTTTGGGTCAGGGGATAATGTGTTGATACCTATAAAAGGATATCTGAAAACCCTGTAAACTAGGCCTTTCCGATTGCTACACCCTGCTTTGATTACTTGCTGTTAGTCCCACCAAACATTTGCCCGTGCAGTACCCGATACCACCAACCGCCTCAATCAACTGGACAGTTCGCTGGTGATCCAAAGATGTTCGCACCTACTGGAAGGTCAGTGGAGCCTGTTGTGAAGACGAATTGTACTCTAGCCTATATCGATAATGGTCAGGATCAGGAGAATGAACTGATATGCATGAAACCACCGCGTACAAAGCCACGGAAACCGCTAACACAAATGGATTGTAACCAAACTCCAGTCACGGTAACCTCCAGTTTGTCGTTAAAACAAGAAAAGAAAACTGATCGGAAGGATATATGTTCTACGCGGAAACGGACAGGCTTAGCGCCTGAATCATCCCCCAGAACTGGTTACGTGTCTCGTCGGAACGAAAGAGAAAGAAACCGCGTCAAACTTCTCAACATGGGATTTGAGCGTCTTCGTGCTGTGGTGCCAAGTCGTTCAGGAGAACAGTTAAGCAAGATTTCCACACTTCGAAAAGCCATTTGGTACATAGAACACTTGGATCGAGTACTGCACGGGCAAGATAAAGTCTATCTGGACGAGTCCACTGTGAACATCAGTTCGTCTGGACTGAGCAAAAAGAAGCTTTATGAAACGGATAGCTCAACGGATTCGTCAAGGACTTCTAGGACTATTCAGCTTGGTGTACAGGGTGTAGCGACTGGACTGGCCTCCTGGTCTGGCCCCGAGAGCATTGCAAAGCCTAACACAGGTGTCGGGGTCAGACCAGTCAAACAGAAACCACTTTCGCCCATATTCCCTCCACACTGGGGTAACAACAATGGGTCAAGCGAGACAACATCGTCTTCGACTCCACGAACTTTGGATCGTCTCACAAAACTCCCGCAATTCCAGCTTCCATGTACAAATCACGACAGGTCGCAACAAGAATCTGGTTACGCTAGCCTCAGCACAAGTAGTCGTTTTCTTACTCCTGTCACAACATCAACAGTGTCACCAAGAAAGCATCTCCTGGCTTCGTTAGAAAGCTTTAGCAGCTTGTTCCCATACTACACGGATATTCTAAATCAACCAAGTTCTGAGGTACTCAACTTGACTCAGCCACAAACGCATTGGTCACATAGAAAAACATGACTTGACAATGGGTCCTGGCCAAGGTAGTTAATTCTGGTAAGTCACCCATTTTTTGTCTTGGCTTAGTTGTGTGATTGACCATTTGTGGTGTTGGGAGGAACTTTCGGGGACATTCTGAGTTCACACCGGAATGACTTACCCACCTGTTCGTCAAGGTGCCACGTGTCCTGGCGATGTCGCGTGCCCTGCCAGACGGGACGTGCACCAACACCTCACCAGACTTCCTGGTCTGTAAGACTGGCAGATTTTAAAAGAAAATCCGGTGTGAACATGGGAATTTGGCTCAAAAACGTCGTTCCCTACCCTTTCCAATGTTACATTATTATTTTTAAGGTATCCCTACATTCTCTTGGTTGAATGCGCCCCCGAGATTTTCGCATCTCACGGTCCTCTAGTATGATTTCTAGTCAATTTAAACCACTAATGGCAAATTTGAGGTAAATTACAATATTTTCAAGAGTTGAAACCAGCCCCTTAGTTCATTTGCATTTGTACTCCAGTATCATGTTTTCATGCAATATCAGCATCTCTGAAGGAACTATTTCCCCATTTCCAGCATTATTTCCAAGGACATGTTTTGAGGAGGATGAATTTCGGTTTGGACAGCTTCTTGATAAGGCTCAAACAGATACCCGGGTATCAGATGTCCGGAAGAAAGATCACCCGTAATTGAAGCTCCGAGAATAAACTTCACTGCGACCTAATCCCATGCCGCACCGGTGCCGGAATTTTCGCCATCGTTTTATTTATATCCCCTCATTGATTATTTGTTCATTTTTCAATTTGTGAATACACTGCTTGACATTTTATCCAACCGTGAAGTTCGTTTCATTGGTCAGATCTGGGACGGTAGTCATTGATAACGGTCTGTTATGAACTTGTATAGATGATAAGCGTATGTTGGTGGTGTGTGGAGATTTGTGATTTTGCAATTCAGATTTCCTTCTGTAGTAAAGTTAGTCTGCACTGGAAAGCTAAAACGCTCTGTAAAGTTGATTCACTCTTGAGGAAATTTTTTAATTATAAGGTCAAAGCAGCGTAGTGGAATAGGTTTTTGTAACCCGACGTTTCGGTTTCCGTGGGTGACCTTTTCCAAGCATTTCTACGATCAACTGAATACGAGTCAAATGCAGCGACATTTGGGCCCGCTACCGTGTCTTATGATTGGTGCAACTCTGTGATCAGCTGGCAGTCAGATTGGGTCGGCTGTGCGCATCTCACGAAAATCCAGTATGGACGACCTCTGGTCTGTTAGTCTGAACACTGTCATTCAGTCACGAGCGGCATCAGTGTGAGTCAGATTGGGTCGGCTGTGCGCATCTCACGAAAATCCAGTATGGACGACCTCTGGTCTGTTAGTCTGAACACTGTTATTCAGTCACGAGCGGCTGGTCATCAGTGTGATTAACTCACGCTTCGGCAGGCAGATAATAGGGGCAGTTGCGTATCATGGTGGAATGCATTTGACTTGATGTGTGGAAAAATGATTTCGGAATGGAGACATTGTTAGGACAAAAGTCTCAGTTTATTTCGTGACATCCCTTACAATCAACCAGATTTAAGTACTTTTTGGAAAAAAACTATACTTTTACTGTTATGCCAGGGCACATTAATCCGAAACCAAACCTGTGTAGTACCTCTGTTCCTCCTAAAGAACATAGTTCCCAAAATATTGTCGGGAAATGGTTTGATCAGGATTCCAAGGGAGCTCCAAACCTTTCACACATGTAGCACACGGTGATCTATTTTGAGGACTAGGGTGTCTTGGTATGTACTGCAGGAAGATAGTGTCTCCGGTGACAGACTACAATGGTTCGTTTAGCTATTTCAAGATGCAACGCATCCCGTTCAATTAGTCACCTTGAGTGCATTTTACTGATGTATTCCAGAAGAGACCAATTTGTGATCGGTATTTTGAAATGGTCCCTTGAAAGGACTCAATCATGCAAGTGTGCCCTTTTGGAGAGGCTACTATTTTAGATGGTCTTTTTTGTACTAGAATGAATTAAAGTTTTCCTTTAAGGAATGTTTGTCGTAGGGTCTAATCCAATGTAGCCTTATTCGGTGGGTTCTGGTAACCTTAAATACCAAGTAAAATTTCATGGGATCCAGCAGAGGCCAACTCATGTGAATGGTATCTTTTACAAGGGAAAAAGGGGAGACATGGCGTTCAGTATACCAGTGGTTGGATACTTAATTCATGTCACATTAAATAAACACCAAAAGTGAGACTTCTGCATCTTGTTATTCATGGGGAGGTAACTTTGAGCGGCCAGGGACAGTTAGAGTGATCTTTATTACTGGTTGCAAAAAAGTGTATCGCTTTTTATCCTTAGCCCACAAGATACCAGAAGATTAGCTGTAGTCAAGGAAGAAGCGTGTGAGCGGGAGTGTCAGTTTCGATCATCTGCCTGTATTTAGTAAAGGCTCTATAAAATAAATAACGAAGCATCATCCGTTATCCCAAGTTTAATTTTTGATGTGTATTGGGACCGTTTAACAAGTGCATATACTGTCTATGGATAAAAGGCACAAACTAAAGAACGATGTACCAAAAGTCTGGTCGTGCGAAAGGTGCACTCTAAACTCCATTTTTTGAAGTAACACCCCACTCATATGGTTGACGAGAACCCTTCGACAACCCACGATCATTTTTCCCTTTTTTCGGCCTTTTCCAGTGGGCGAAACTTTTGAGTTTCAGATTGATGTTAAAATGAGCTTATTTCGCGAATTTCCACACAAGTTGGGTTGAAGTAGCGCATAAAGTTAACGGAAACTGGCGGAGTGTACCTACGTGATGAGCTCTAAAGAGAAAATCGATCGTGGACTGTCGAGTAGAAAGAAGCCTTATAGGTGGAGCTTCTTCAAGAAAAAACACTGCTATGAGTAGAATATAATGTCAACTGAAACACGAGGCGACCTTTTTACAGCACATGCAGTTAAAGAATATCATGAACGGAATAAAGAAGTGGGTACGAAGTAGGTAACACAGAATACCTCTTTCATGGTATAGAAATTGCTGTAAAAAAAGTTCGGGATGTTTCATGGCGGGAATCAATGATTTATTTCAGAAGATTTCACCGCTTGAAAAATTGATTTTAGAAAGTACACCAGGTTTTTTTGGAAGGGGGGAGCGCAGAACTTCATTATTTTGTGTCTTGTTTACTTGGCACGTCTTGTTTTATTCAAAAAATAAGTTTTGAAAAGCGAAGCTCGTTTTGTCAAATAAGCCTTTGTGCGACGACAACCCCCAATACCATCATGTTGTGGGTGTGACGCAAGACATATTTTTTCTTCATTCTGAACATGAAGAAGCCTGCCTTTGCTACAAAAAAGTGGGTAACTGGAATGAAAAAAGTGAGAAGCTCATATGTGAGGCAGTAGATAGTGACATATTACCCAGACATAACGAGCGCGGAAATTCAACTGTTGTATCAGGAATTTCCAGAAACTTCTGGCTCGGAGACACAGAGCCATGTTATGATATCAGACAACTTGTGCTTACCTGGGGGTAATAGGCTGGACGTTAAATATCTAGGTCACGAAATTGCTAGTGAGTGTTGGGTTTACAACCAAGCCGATGGCGCATGATAAACTATCAGATCTAGAGAACGGAGGCCTTTAGATTTCTTTTTTCAGGCAGCCTTGGAATTGGGATCGCTTTAATTTATTCATTTACTAGAATATGGGGTGGCCAAAGATATCCGTATACGGCATTTCCAACTAATTCCGTCGAAGATTCAAACAGTCCGTGAAAACTGAGCTTCGAATTTCCCTACCATTTGCTGCGTTCCTGCAAGATTCCGGAAATTTCCCGCTGCGCGGAAACCCGATGATAACCAACTCACATCACAGCAAACACCAAGATAACCAGTACGGTTGGACATATTTGTAGCCGTGTTTCACAGTTGTCCACGAGGTATACCCGAATACAAATAACGTAATGGACCCAGCCGTTCTTTTAAATGACAGATATGCGTACTTATTAATGAATAAGGCCAAAATGGTCGTCCAATTTTTATCCGACGTTGTAGGACAGTGCACCAAGTAGTAAGCAACCCGTTGGGGCTAGGTCGACGCGCAATTTATTTTCATAACGGTTGGACACCTTCGGTTCTAACGAGTAAAGTCATTAGTGAGTTGAGTCCTTTGGATCCACGTGCAGAACTGGATTCAGTCGTATGAGCAAAATTTAATCCAGTTCTGGCTCGTGGTGCGGTCATTTTCGGTTGAGTTATTCGGGGATTCGCGCCAGACTGAAGCATATTGGACAAGGAGGGGAGGGATGAGACAATGTAATTACTCAGGCACATGGTGGACAGTGAGTGAAATTGTTGGACAGATGTGACGTCCGCGTTCAGATGTATGTTATGATCTTGACCTGACCAGATTGCTCAGTTTGCGCTCATCGAAATTCCCCACTGAGCAAATGGAGAGAGAGAGGGATTCAAACTTCACGTTAATTCTTCTGCTTGGTCAGCGAGCTGGATGTTTCATTACATAGCTTTCCATCTGTGCTCTTATTTTAAGATCACCAGCCCGAATCGTCAAATGAACTGAATTGTTTCGAAGTTTCTAGGTTTGGTGAAGAACTGGACTGAATCTTGAAGAAAGTAAAACAATTGTGTCCGTTGAAAACAATCGGGAGACTGCAGGCTAGCAGCAAGCAACGAAGTAATCCTCTGTGCAGTCCAGGTAGACAATCTAAATTTTTTCCAAGGCGGAAGCAACCCATGAAATGAATCTTACCACTCGAAGCCACAGAACACTACCGTGTCTCTGAAGCGTGATGCGGAAGCGTTTCTAGAGTGGGAGATGCAGAATTCGAAATATGATTACCGCCGCCGATCCCCTCTAATCTCTCCGCTCCCATTAGGCCACTTACTCGACATTTTGAGCGTGTTGTTCAACGTACAGTTTCGTCAACAGAACCTCACACAACTTTATGATGTGTTCTGAGAGGAGATCCAACAGAGAAATACCAACAACAACAATTGTTCCTTATCGAAACCCAAAGAACGACGGAAATGTTATAAAACTTCCCAAATTTACAGTAAGATCACAGGAACCTATTGGTACCGACTGAGTTAGCAGCCAACCCGTCACGATGTTTGCATAACACAAGCAACTAGTAGTGACCGTAGAACTGTTGGGTTAGCACATAGTAGTTGTGATAGACTAAATATTTTACAGATCATTTGTGTATGTCACAGAATAGTCATTAGGTCAGTCGACTTTATTATTCTTATTATTATTCTTATTATTATTATTCTCAATGGCATAACATCAGTATTCAAAACTGATGCCTCGCTGCCGTATGACCATAATTTATTTGAAAGTCTTGCTGTGAAGAAAGGATTAAAAATGAATGGAGACGTTACTTGGTGTTAGCCGAACACAATCATTCCGAGGTACCTATAGCTCCAGATACTCATTCAGGCAATATGGATGGAAACTGACAAGAACGCCACTGAGATCAGTTAGCAACCATATGTTGCAGCATGTGCAATCCTGCACGTTGGGATCAAGCGGAATTCACTCTCGAAGGCAAGTAGCACCCACAGCACCCAGGCCTTTCGTACTCTCTTTCACAGCCTTCTACTGTGTCAAAAGTTGCCCAATAAAGCACTAACTCCATTCCGAATTAACACGAAAATCAGCACTTTCTTCGGCAAACGGCTGTTCAGCGTGCATGATACATGGTCCGCCCACAACAGCCTCTAGTGCTGGACAGATTCTTCGATTGAAATCCTTGTCCCGCAACTGAAGACTTCTTTTTTTAATTCCCCCGATGCGGATTCGTCAGGGCATCCATGTTTCGAGATGGCAAATTCTTTTAACAAAAATGTGTAAAAATCAAGTCGCAGTGTTAATCTCTGAAACGCTATTCTTGAACACAGTCGAACATGATGTAAGAACATTCAAGTTGATCACTATACATCGTTCCCGAATGTAAGCCAACACAATATGTTATCAGACCTCCAGCGCCTCAGAAATATGGCTGCTAGTGATTCTCACTGTAACATAGGTGCGACAAAACCAAGCTGCACACCCTGTCAAATGAATAAGAAAGTAGAAAGTGTGTGCGGCCCACTCGAGTTGTGATTATCTCCATGTCTAGCAAGTGATTGTGAGCACTCAAGCAGAACAGAGCGTAGTGATTTTGCAAAAAGAGATGAAGCAATCAGGTGATTGTCCTTATACCCAACACTTAAAAACTCGGTTCCTATCATGTGTGAGCCTCAATACTACCCCACACATTCTCACGAGTGTTCCTATGCTGACCATGTGTTGGACATTTGACAAAAGGATACCTTATAGGCGCAATAATGAGCAGATTTGATCAGAACCTGTCAGGCTGTTCGTACATAGCCAAAACGGGTTTCATCCCGTGTCTTGGTGTACGAGTTGGTTGTAACTGTTCCACCTAGTGTTTTGTTTCCTCCCAATAAGGTATCCCCAAGCTTAAATGATCTTCCTTCTCAGCCTTGGCCACTTCATTTTTTTCTCAGGCCACCCAAATGACCAAATGTCAGCTAAAAAATTTTACCGCTGAGTGACACCTTATCTCTTTTCTTCCTTTCATGATTCCTTTGGCTTTTTTCGGACACAACTTATGCTCAAATTCAAAATCAGAGATGCACTGAACTCTTTAAATTTGTTTCATGGATGCAACACTCACCAACAACTGTATGGCTTCACAAGGCGCAATTTATGTCAGGAATCTGGTAGTGTTGGCACTGTATCAAGTCAGCTGAAATTTGCTCATCAGCGTTTGGGAAAATCCGTAAAGCTCATCGCAATATATCGCCATAGTTCAACTTTGTCAGCATTCCTTTTCTTTAGAAACGATGTTGTACCTAATCAATTTAATTTATTCAATATAATTAAATAAGCAATTCTGCTTCAGTCACGGGCCTAACCAAGCATGCTGGGATGCTTGCAGTCGATAACACTTCGGTACAGACCTTTAGTGTCATTGGTTGAGCACCGCAGAAATGAATTCCAGGGCGTCCCTCAACCACTCAGATCCTAATGGGATATTTTTCGGGGTTGTGGAACTATGAAATCTCGCCACAACGTTAATTAACAATAGCTGGATGATCTTTTCAGACTTTGAAAATCAGGGGAAACAGACGCCCTCACTGGTGATCTGCAGGGAAGCTTACACTCCAGTCCGATGTTGGGGAGAGAGAGAGTGAAGCGCCCTGGTAGAATCTCATGCCTCGGGCTTATGATGCCCCACACAATATCTGTACACCAAATGGAACAGTCAGCTGATCAGCACGAATGATAATTTGTCTAAAAAGTTCTGTTGCCGATTTTTCACCGGACAAATGATACTCCTGCATGTTGTGTTCCTTTTTCTACCAGTTGTTGAGCCCTTATGAGAATAGGGAATCTCGTATGTCGAAATATTTCAGAAACCGACCATCATATGTAGTAATAAGACCTTTCTGTTACAACAACTCGGGTTACAACATGTGTTTGTTGAGTTGTCTTGTCTGTTTTAATTACGAAACTGTACTATTGTTTTCTTTTATCAGTCAACAATAAAGATTTTTCAAGACTCAAGTAAATACTGGATTGGTACTTGAGTCTTGCCGCACCACTTGACGAGTAGTAACTACCTATCAATCTGACCGAGTGTTTAGGACTAGCTGCCCCAAATATTTGTAGTTACCATGGCAACAATGGGCTGAGTTTCAGAATTTCTGTGGCATTGGGAGATGTTTCTATGGTAGCCATAGGCAACAGTTACAACTAATTTTGGATACCCATGATGATGTCAAGAATACAGAGGCAAGTATTTTTGCGAGTGAATTACTTGGGATTTGTCCTGACCACCGAGTCCCAATGAATTATGTTTACCGCTCAAGCTTAGTTGCTTCGAAGCAACTCTTTGGAGGGTGTATTATCAGCACACCGCTGTGCCTCGGAGGGAGAAAATTTGCTGCACAGCAGAATTCAACGCAAAGTGGGTAAACTTTCTCTGAAGACAAGGTACCTTGCGTCATGAAATGCAGCATACTCTTGGACAGTTCTATTATCATTTATTTTTGAAGAGCATGGTCACAAACATAAAAAGTGAATGCAAGGGATGAATGCGAAAGAGTAACAAGAGAATATGGGAGAAAAGAGAGAAACGTCTCATTCGAAATCATGCCAAGGACAGTGCCTGTCTGATGAGGTGAATCCCAAAGTATGTAAGGATTTGGTATGGAAACACGCGTCCAAATACCAACAACCAAAGAAAGGACAAACAATGGTGAATGCTCTTCAAGGCGCAGTGTGCGCTAGCACAGTCAAGACTCGAACATCAGGCACAAAGTGTCCGTCATACTGGGTCTGGTGTGAGATTAAATGGCAAAAGTGTACCTTCAACACCATGTGCCACGCATAAAAGTGTCATAAGTACGCAGAGAGCCCACAATGGCAAGCAAACACAAGTCACTGACTGCGACCTTAGGAAGTCCCAGTCCAATAACAGCCTTAGCGGATTGACGAAAGCAGATCCCTCGATAAGAGATGATCATCGGTTGGTGAACCAAAAAGTTGATATCACAACCGATGGCATGTAGGGCTGATATTATGGCGAGGGAATGTTCATCAGCACCATACTTCTGCTTCTTCTCATTCCACACTATCTCACCACGCCCATCCGAGACTATGCTGACGTCTATTACAGTTGCATGGCGATCTCGAACAGCGATTAGGTCAGGTTTGATGAACGACGTAGAAGTAGGGGCTCTCAACTCCTCGAAGACGGTGTACCCCAGTCGACGGAGACGTTTTGCAAGTTCCCTTGCAACCCGATTATGACAAGCACATCTGGCATCATGCGTGATCCAGCAGGATTGCAAAATATGCACCAAACTCTCCGGTTGGCCACAGTTTCCACGACATAAGATCGTCTGGCCACCATGACCATGCCGAGCGCTTCTAACTCCCGTCCTAAGCAGGTTGCATCGGAGCTGGATACCCCGGATAAATATCCATGGAAACACTCGTTCTGGGAATACGAGCCATCGATTCGAGAGAGGCGAAGTGACCAACTCTCGTAAACCAAATCCCCGTGGAAACTTTCTTTCTAAAACTAGGAGCCATAGATTCGAGGGAGGTGAAGCGACCAACTCTCTTAAACCGCGACCGTCAACGCTGTTGTGCAGACTCTCGCCCCAAGCAGCCACCAGTTCCTCCTTGGTGTTTACGCATGCACCATGGACTCGGATCGGAAGGCTGAGATCCCGAACAATTTTGCCAAATGCGGAATCGTTGACCACATTGCGTAGTACTAGGCACTGAGTAGAAAGGAGCTTTTCCATACGCGTTTTCCGTTGCATCGGGATTGTTGCACTCAGACTTGGGATACCAAGTCCCCCATGTTGTTTACCGGCGTGGATGTAGCTGATCGGGGTGTCCTTCGGTAGACGTAGCCAGCCACGAATATATTGTCTGATTTAGTTGTCCAATCTTTTTAGCGTGTTCCTGTGGACTTGGCCGAGCACGAGCGAATATGTCAGCCTTGGTACCAGGTAGTTCCTCGTGATGTCCATTCTTTGATGCGGCTTCAACGGGGCACGCGCCATTTCTTCGAGCAGTTTGAGCAGATGCTGTCGGTGCTTGAAGACCCCTTTTAAATATCGTAGCGAGTGAAACATGAGGCGGCTGGTGCAGCACAACCTTATGAGTAGTACATTACAAGTAATAATTCCCTGTTATTCCCGTCAGAGGATTGTTTGAAAAGACTGTTTTCACGCCACTTTCTCGAGTGCACGTAAATTTGTTTCCTGTGTGTTCTCATTGAATTAACTGGTTCATTTTTTCTACCTGGGCGCGAACCGCCCCAAGGGCCTTGGAAACTGTAATCATTTATGGCATGGCATCATCCCCAAGACAACGGGATCGAGGAACTTGATAACACGCAAGGTAACTCAGTGGACTTGGTGAATTGTGCGAGACCAAACTGAAACACTGCACGGACTAATAGTAACTGGGTTCCGCTGGACAATTCACACAAATAAACAGTTTCAGCTTTTCAGGTGCAAGGTAGTCAGGGGTTGGTAGGATTTCAGGCTTGGAGGACTAGTAGGCAGGGGGATGCTAGTCACGATGTTGCTTACGACAGATAATAATCTCCAAGTCTGAGATGAGGGCGGCCCAGACAAACATCTGGACGTGTGGTTTTGACAGTAGGAACAGGACGGGCGTGCGTCCGTTTTGCGACATGACGAAAGCTGACATGACATGGTGAAAGTGCTCGTATCAGAGTCGAACCTGAGTGACGTATCGCAGATTAGTATGGCGATCGTCTTGACAATACCTTTGCTAGAAATTTAGTGGAATAACGTTTATCTGTAGCGACTAGTATCCCCAAGGGATTGTCCAACTCAACAGAGATTATAATGTGGCTTTTGGAGTTTCCACTAACGATTTAGCACCCGGTGATTAGGTATGTTACGGAGGCTTACTATCCCCTTTGTGAGGTGCATACGTTGTTTTCTGATCCCAAGCATTTCACAGCCAGTTCGGTGAGAGGTGAATTTCAGGTCTGGGCGCATTCACTCTGTGAGCTGTGCTGGTAACTTTCGGACTGGTCAATCATAACTGCTTGTATTCAAATTTCGTGGCACCTACCCTGGGACAGGTTCCTGTGATTCAGCGGACAACTCAAAAATGTGATATGGAAAGGCTCACTGGAGGTGTGGTATACCGTTAAAACAATTAACGGAGCCCTCGTCTCATTGGTCAAAACGGCTATGTGCGGGCACCTCACTGATCGACCGTATACGCCCAATCAACGAACGCTGTGGTACCCACAGCTTTTCTTTACTTCCGATCAACTGTCGTTAGCTCACAATTCACAATTCATTTTTGTGAGCATTTTTACTTGTAACGCAGAAAGTGTCTGTTTTCCGATTCGATTCATATCGCAAACAAACGATTGTGTTACGCAGTGGATGCACCTAGTGTGGTTTGTCGAGTCCCGTCCAGTCACTCGAAGGCCGCCCGTGAACACATCTCGCGAAAACCCTAGAAATCCGCTTCACTTTATCAAGTTATTCTCAATTTAGCACTTAAAATTAAGGAGAAAGCTAAACGAAAGGGTACTGCTTGAAAAGTAGAATCAGTTACGCACATGTTGTACTTCCTCTATTCGTCAACCCACCGGGTAGCAGCACCCTCAGAACAGGTCAAATGATCAACCGCAGGTGGCATCTTACTCGTCTTTAATAAATATGAATGAATATGAATTAATAAATATGATTCTTCCAATGGCCTGGCCTACCACACTTGTAGCACCGGCTCATTCGAGCGCACCTCCGCGATCCCGTCTTTATGGCTCCAAGCTGTTCCGCGAGTTAGTCCACTCTGATCCACTGGTGACCATCCCTGTTCTCCTGCGAATGCAATGTGGCCAGTGGTGCATCGGCTCGTGCCAGATGCACCAGATCCTCCACACCCAACTGGCCAGTTGCTCTTGCTAACCGTAATTGAACACCAAGCGCCGGTTGCATTCCTCCGATGAACTGGTCAGACAGCAACTGGTGGCGCGACACTGTCCAGTCCCAGCAAAGCCCGATCCAATGGATGCTGCAGGCTGGCGAAGAACACGGTCGGGTCACATCCAGGTGCCATCCTGGCCGTTTTGAACCGCCTCATAGCCGCCTGGCGATCGACCGGCGTATCGAACCCCTCAACGAAGACCTTGTTCCTTTTATTCTTCTGAAATAACGTCACAATTGTGTGTCCTGACAGTCTTCCAGTATTCGAATTCATAGGTTGTTCTTCTCAACGACTGTGATTTTCTCCAGGAAATGCATATTTAGGCGTCCACCGGCACCACATACCACTTTGGTGAGAAAAACATCTTTGAATTCCCTGTCAGAATTGTGTAGAGTCACTAAGTTATATGGGTCTAGCGAATATACACTCATCTGCAAACTAATTTGGTTCTTTCGAGAGACTCACCTGGAACCCAGCTGAATCTATCGTTTATGATATTCTCAGGCAACTGAATGTGCTGCACCAGGCCGCCTCACGTTTCAGTCGCTACGATATTTGAAATATCGCGATACATGTATATTTGTAATGTACTACTCACTCGCTAATTTCGTGCAATTTGATTTCAAGTAGAACATAAGGTTGACGGAAACCCGGGGACTGCGCCTACCTAATGAGCCCCAAGAAGGGCGAAACCGGTCGTGGGTTGTCGATGGATTTTCAGCAACCTTACGAGTAGTACATTACAAATATACTATTATATGGGTCTACTTATTTGCTGAGTTCACGTAGAAGATGGGAAATTCAAATACTAGTTACTTTCAAAGGAACATATAAGAACAATAAACTTTGACCGTCATTATTTATTGCTGCGATTCCAAAGTCTCCAATATTTTCCTGAGGGAACAAAACAGTCCATGGCCTGTTTCATAGTCCAAGGAGCAAATATTCTGTTGAAAAAAATTCTCAAACAAGAGATTCACCTAGAATTCAGTTGTGTCTCCTGTCTTAACCAGAGTCATATCACGTAGTTCCTAAGTAATCGGAGCACTGGAATAGCTTACCAAAAGAAAATTGCTAGCAGTTTTCAAGCGTATAATTCTCTTCTTTAGAAGAAGACGTCGTGGGCACAAAAATGCTAAAAGTCATAGCAAAATACCCCTGGTGAATTAGGCTTAAACTGACATCCTTCTTGAATCGATGCAGTTCAACCCATCGATGGTTCCTGTGAATAGTTGAACGAAGACGGCGAATCCAACTCCGTAACTCAATAAGTGTCCTTTGATATCCGGATCGGCAGTCTCTCAGCCTTATGTCGTTCGGCGCTGCAGTATAGATCTTCATACTGTTTGAGTGCCTTGATAACGACTGCTTTCCTCTGCCTACGTCTATCACGAACCCCCTCAGCCAAAAGGCTGCTGGTGTTCCAGGCTTATAGTTTGAGTTTTCAAGTAATTGTCTATTAGCTCCAAGGATTTGTTCCTCTCCAGATAACAAGGTTGCGAATCTGCAGTTGTTCAGAGCGCTACATCTTGATTTTTTACTTCTCGGTCTGATACGCAAGATCGATGATATGAGGGTCTCCCTTAGAAAATTTGTTTGTGGCCAACGACCCGTCTGACGCATTTAATTGTCAAAGGCTGGGCGAGTCTTAAAGAGGTAGGGCGTCGAACGTGAATGTCCTACCTAAATAGTGTCACGCAAGAAAGCACCTTCTAAGCCACACTAGGCTCTCGTTTTTTGGAGTATTTCGAACAATCCAGAGATTGGTGAAATACACNCCAGAGATTGGTGAAATACACCCATTTGCAAACAAACTTGGTTTTGCGAGAGACTCACCTAGAACCCAGCTGAATCTCTCGTTCAGTTGCCTGGAAATATCACAAACGAGATATTCAGCTGGGTTCCAAGTGCGTCCCCCGCAAAACCAAACTTGTTTTCAAATAATTGTACCTCGCTAATTTCATGCTATTTGGTTTCAGGTGAAACATAAGGTTGGCGGAAACTCGGGGACCATCCTGCCTTGTGAGCCCCCAAGAAGGGCAAAACCGGTCGTGGGCTGTCGAAGAGTTTTCAGCAACCTTATGAGTAGTGCATTACTTGCATACACTTTAGATTGGATTTGTGGGTATCAGGGTCGATCTTTTATCACCCTCTCTTCCCAGGTGGAGGAAAATCAACGCTAATCCTTCGGAGGAAAGGCCTTATCCTCCTCACACTCCCGTCGCAACACCCGGTACGATTTTATTCTCAGACCGCATCAAGGCTGAACTTCCCCATGGTGTTTAAGATCAGAGCAAAGAGCCCAGTGTGTAACTTCAGGCTTGACATCCACGATAAAGTGAAAACTTGAAGTCAGGTTGTCCCATCTGGTGAAACCTTAGTGAAAATTTTTCATCCTTCTTCCTCGTGGGTCAGAAACAACAAAAATTGCATATTCCTCAAAAGTTACCTCAGGTGCAGTTTAGTACTAGGACACATGGGACACATGGTTAGTGCCTGCTGATTGTCGTTTTGAAAAAGTAATGATATTTGCATTCGATAAAATTTGTCGTCCCTCATTCGCTGGAATAATGATACCTTCACACCCATCACACGCAACACTGCCTTCACTAGTATTTGAAAGTCGTTCCATCATTTACGCTGGATGAACTTTGTCTCTTTTCAAGAGCTAGGAGCCAAATCAGGTGGAAACGTCTTTGTTCTGCTCATCAGAGAATATAACAGTCAGTTTCCTTTGCGTCTGGATGAAAAGAACACGCAAAATTCTCGCACACATTTCGTTTGCCCTGCTCGAGTTCTTAGTGTTTTTTTCCCTACGCGCACATTTCTTGCCCAGCGAGTGTCACTAAAAGGACTGACGCTCATTTACTGTGGAGCCAACAAGCAATGGGGAAACCACTAATGGAGACACGTCCTCTTCCAAGATAAACGTAGAAGCAGGTAATCGTCTTTTTAACATTTTTACCATGGTTTCCTGTAGCTTTATTAATGGAAAAACAAATAAATTATTTTGATCAATTTTCTACTTGGAAGTAGATACCCCAGGTCAGCGAAGTCCTCATCCCATTCAAACTCTCTGACTTTTCAAAGTTTTGGTTAAGTTAATCACCGCAAAAAAAACTGGCTGAGGTAATCGTGCTTCTGTGTCAAAAATCAAAAAGCAAGAGGAATAATGAGCATAGGTGATTCGCTCGTGTAACACAGTGAAGGAAGGTAGACTGTCAGTAGTAGTGTTGTTTTTAGGTGGCACCCTCGATAATCTCGCCTAAACACTGCCACCCTCCACGAAATACACCCATCTGCACACCAACTAGGTTTTAACGCGAGATTCAACTGAATCTGAGCGAAATCTCATCTGTGATAATCTTCTTCGTCCGGGATTCAGTTGAGTCTACTGGTAAGACCACAATGGTGCTCAAATGAGTGTATTCCACACAACGCGTTCAATTTGGTTGCCGACAGAACCTAAAACTGTCGGAAGCTCGGGGACTGTGTCCACCTCAGAAGCCCCAAGAAGGGCGATACCGGTGGTAGGCTCTTGAAGGGTGTTCAGCAAACTCATGAGTAGTTTCTTTGAGACCTAAAACTGTCGGAAGCTCGGGGACTGTGTCCACCTCAGAAGCCCCAAGAAGGGCGATACCGGTGGTAGGCTCTTGAAGGGTGTTCAGCAAACTCATGAGTAGTTTCTTTGAGGAAAATACACTGCGATATCTCTAATATCGCGCCAACTGCTGTTTCTGTTTTGACGTTATTATTCTAGTTAGCCCATAACAAAGGGAGAGCGTACTTGACCCGAGTTTCCTTGTTAGTAGAGCTCTTCGGTCATACAACTACATGACATTTCGAGAAGTGTTGGGTATACCGCGCAAGTCACTCTAGGGTGAACATGCTGGTCTGTTCAGACGTGTTTAGCTGTGTGAAGTATGCGCTGGTGAGGTGGTGACAACCCATTCATCTCACATTTTATATGATCAGACTTCGCATACCGGTACGACCATGATTATGAACTTTTTGGTACTACCAAACGTACCCCTCTAATCTGTAATGATCCCCGCCCTTTGGTTTGGACCAGTAGTTCTCAGCTTATCAATCCTCCTCGGTTCCCAAGTACTCACTGAACCATAGCATCTCATCCATCGAATGAACATAAAACCAGCCGGCTGTACAATATCGTGCAGTGTTATTCACAGTGTGCTATTCGGGAGGGATGTTACTTCACTTGATAGTGTAAAATAATGCTACCAAACATACACGTTGTTTTGTGAAAGCCTTACGAAGTTGAAACACCTCCAGGAGGTGCATGATAACACATTCAAGTCTCATTTACCGTCATTTTTTCGAGAAAATAAAAGACGATCTTATCTTATTACTTTCTTAACACACTACACACAGCTAGCTGTGATCGATGGATCACGCCACTCGTAAGTCTTCGATAGTCCATAAGCAGCCTTGTCCTTCTTGGGGCACGTAGGGTAGCCTTAGTAGCCTAGGTGCCGTCAATCTCAGCTGGTTGGTACATTGGTATTGTTATCAGGCACATTGCCTCCATTATTAATATATCAAGGCCAGTACGCTTCGTACCCTCTCGCCGTCACAAATGAGCATTGGCTAGGAGAGGGTCGTGGATGTACACACCAGGAAAGGCGAAAAGAGGAACAATATATTCCCTTCAGGAGTGGACGGACTTGGACTAGTCCGGTTTGATTGAACACGCTCAGTTAGTAGGATTTACCGATCCGTTGCTTCAGAGACGTATGTAATGAGATATTGGCTATTTCCATAAAGTAAACTACTCACAAGGTTGCTGAAAATTCCTCGACAGCCCACGACCGGTTTCGCCCTTCTTGGGGATCATCAGGTAGGCGCAGTCCCCGAATTTCCGTCAACCTTATGATCTACTTGAACCCAAATTGCACTGTTCTCGAGAAATACACTCATTTGAAAATCAATTTGGTTTTCACGGGAGACTCAATTGAATCTCTCGTGGAAACGAAATTGATTTGCAAATGAGTGTACTTCTCGAGATAATGACTACTTGTGTGTGGCGCACATGCCCAGTGGCTTGTCTATTTTGACGAACGGAACAGCTGATTGAGGAGAAATAACCATGTTCGTAAACACACTGCTTTCGACTCCTTCTGTCCAATTCAGATTTATCGCCAAAACAGATCCCCCATGGTCCCTCAACGACATTTCCCCTCAAAGAATATTAGAAACTG